CCACCGCCGCCGCCACCGCTGCGCTCTACCCCAGCCCGGCCTTGCAGCCCCCGCCCGGGCCCTTCGGCGCCGTGGCCGCCGCCTCGCACTTGGGGGGCCATTACCACTAGACGGGGCGGCCGGGGGCCCCAGCCTCTCCCAGACGCCAGAGCCTCGCCCAATCCCATCCCCGCCCCGGGAGGGCGCCCGGAGCCTCCCTCACTGTTCCTTTGACCTCAGATTTTACTCCACCCGCCGCGCCCAGCCCCGGGGAAGGGACCTGAAGCCTCTTCAATCTTCCTTAACACTGGATTTCCCCCGCCTCACCCTGTAAGCCCCGGGGGAGAGTGACTGTGGCCTCCCCCCACCCCATTCTTTAACTTCTGTCTTCTTCTAGGCCCCAGATCCCTGAAGAGGGTTCGGGGACCTGCCCTGTCTTTTTCTCCTCTCCACATGTACTTCGGCCTGGCTCCTGGAAGCCCCTTCCATTTGACCCCTGTCTTTTGAATTCCAAATCTTTTCTCATCTTTTCTCTCCCCCGCGGATCTGCCCCATTCCAGTATGGTGGAGGCCCGCACAGTTCACCTTCTTCTCCCCGGCACCTCAGCGGGCTTGGTTAAGGGCCATTGCCCCCCAAGACACGCCTAGGTACCTTCCGGCCCCCTTCTTCCCGCCCCCGCCCTCTCGCAGGACGGCCCGATGTGTTCCTATTCCCTTCCAGACCCATTAAAGCTCCGGAGCTCCAGGCTGCCTCCTCTTTCTCTTCTTTGCTGCCCCAGAACCTTTTTTTCAAGCGGGAAAGAAGTGAGGTGCCCAGCTCAGGCCTGAGCAGAAAGGCTTGCCCAGGAAGAGCTGGAGAGGATGAGGGCAGAGTGGGCTTGGGTGCTACTGGAGGGGAGCGAGGAGCCCTGATGGGTGGGCTCAGTCGACCCCAGCCCGCCTCACCTTGCCTTCCACCGGCCCCTCACCCCACCTCACCCCAATTTCCATCTTCCCGCGCCCGCACCTCACCTTCCCCCATCTCATCATCCTTCCATCCGCCCCCCACCTCCTCCCAACCTCCACCCCACCTTCTCTGCTCTTCACACCATCTCAACATTTCCTGTCACCCCTTTCATCCCCTTCCCCACCTCCCCTCCCCTCTCCATCCTTCCCTCACTCAGACTTTCTCTCTCACAAACCGCCCCCTTTCCCCCGTATCTCCGTCGCTGTCTTTTCTCTGGATCTGCCTCCTCATTTTCCGAAGGAGGGAACCCCCTTCCGCGCCCGCCACTCCCAGCCGTCGCTTGCGGCAGCACCTTCCTTCTCGCGGGTGGCGCGCGCCCCCTGCTGGTCAGAGGAGGGTAAGCCAGGGCCAGGTTTGGCAGCTAAGCCCGGGAAGGCTTTGCGCGGTGGAACCTCTGGTGTCTCACCAGACCCAGGCCCGCAGGACGCCGACGCTTCCAGGCCTCCTTTTGCCTTCATAGAAGTGGGCGAAAGGAGGAACCCCGGCCCTGCATCCTTCTGGAAGTCCGGAAAGTGGGTCATTCTCCTGGCTGGGCCCTTTTCTTCACCACCTGGAGGCCCTTCTGAATACTGCGCCCCTAGGGACCACGGCCCTTATGCTCTCTCCGCGCCTTTTACAAAATCTGTTGGGCAGGAAAACTGACTTGAACGCGTTCCCTTAGCCGGAAAGCACCCGGGGAAAGGTGCCTGAGGTGATAGCTGCACAGCTCGGCGAGCCCCTTGCTCGCCCTGACGGTGGTCCTGGTGTTTCTCTCCCAGGGTCACAGCTCTCCCTGCACCAAAGCTTCCTCGCTGGTTGGTGGGAGGATGCCTGGGCCTCACAAGCAGCTGAGGAGATTTCCCTGTGCCCTGTGAGCAGGAAGGGGAAATGCAGGTGGAAGGCAGGACCATTAAGTGCGGAGAGGGCCTGAATGTCCCTTCCCAAGGAGTGCTGATGACATCATCGAGGTCTACCCAGGGAAAGAGTCTTTATTCCTGTTCATTTTATTGTCACTTTATTTTTTCTGGTTTACCAGATAATGCATACTCAGTATAGAAAATTTGGAAAATACGCACATAAGGTTTCCATTAAATATTAGTTAGATGAAGTGTGTAATGAAGCACGGAAAAAACTCACCTATAACCCCATCAACAGAGGCTGCTATTCGTAACTCTGTTATAATCTCCTTCCTTTTCTCTATGCCTTTTAGAATTTAATGGTACCCTGCTTTAATCACCTAACATTCTGGCACAAGCATGTAGCACATCATTATGCCCTCTGGACGTGGGGTGGGAGGGGGGCTCATGTATGCCACGGAGCAGATGAGCCAGGGAGGAATCCGGCCTGGCGAGGCCCTCAGTGACTTGGAGGGAGAGGCAAAGGGCCTCTTTGCAGGGGGCAGGAAGCTGGGAGGGAGAAGGAATGCATTGGGGAGACAGAACCAGGTTCCAGAAATATCCGGGCTGCTAAGAATTGTGGGCTAAATGTAAAAAGATAAAATTTCCAGGCAAGGAGTGTGAGGCCCTGCCATTAGATCTTTAAATGCAATAACAGGAGGCCAGAGTGTGAGGCATGGCCAGGGTGGGGCTCAGTAGGGCCTGTGTGGAAATTAGTGGTGTCTGAGTCAATACAACATTAAATGGGAACCTGTAGGGTGAAACGCAGAAAAGTCATTGTGATCTCAGGATGTGTTGATGGAGTTAAGGCACCTAGGATGGAGATGACCCCCTTGCTCTAATGATGATGCCCCAGCACATTGTACACGGTCTTCCAGAAGACCAGATGGAGAACATACAGAGCAGTGGACCCAGGAAGCGAAGGAGAACACTGGAGAGCCAAAAACAATGGGAGATGTAGTCTGGAAATCAGACCGAGGAAAGGGGCACGAGAGCCGTCCTCAGTTATTCCAAGAGCTGTCCTGTGGCAGGGGACCTGGCTGCATGTGAGCAAGGGCAGTACTAAGACAGTGGTAGGAAGCTACCGTAAGAGAGACGTGTCAACCGATCTGATGAAGAACCTTCTGTCGTGCGCACATGTCAGATGAGGAGTGCTCTGTCACCGGAGTGGTCAGCAGACCTTCCTTGGGAGGTTGCAAGGGGATGTGGACTAGGTGACCTCTCCAACCTTGAGACTCTTGAAGTCCTGCGAGGCAGTTAGTAAAAGAGGGATTTCAGGCATCATTGGGCAGCTGGGAGAGGTGGTGCTAGATGAAGTGGTCTTCTTTCCTATGAAGTCACATGCTTAAAACTCACCCTACCCCTCTGTTCTCTCCTGAACACAGAAGCTAAATACAGGACTGGGAATCAGAAAACCAGAGTTCTGGGCCCAGCTCGGCAACTGACTAGCTACGTGACCTTCAGATAACCATGTCTCCCCTCTGGGATTCCATTAGATGACTCTACTCCACCCAAGCCCTGAAGAAGCAACACTCTTACCACACTCAGCTTCCTAATGATCCAGGCCCGCCCTCATTGACCCTTAACCCCTTGGTCCTTGGCCCTCCAAGGTACCAATCCCGCCATTGCTTCCCTCTCCCAATCCAGGGTCCAGCGCCTCCTGCATTCCCTCTTCTCTATCCTCATTCACGTCACTGGTGAGAATACGGCTCACTCCTCCGCCCCTCCGTATGCTTGCATTACAGAGTTTACAAAATGCTTTCACATCCATTGTCTTATTGACCCCCTTCAAGTTCAGGGGGGAAGACAGGGCAGGATTGCTTTATCCACTTGGAGGATAAGTAAACCAAGGCCAAGATGTTCAGAGACTTGTGTAAAGTCTCAGGGCTTGTTCGAGGACCTGTGTCTCCTGGCGCCTCTCCCAGCCTTTTCCCACTGTTCTGAGTGGTGTCCCCATAGTCCCGAGTGGCCCTTGGTCACCATGTTTGTAGGATCACCCACTTGCCAGGATTACACAGACCACGTCTCCAATAACGTGTGCTACACATGACCAAGTCCACCTGCCCTCACTTGCAGACGGAATCAGAAGCCCGACTAGCATGCGGCGTGGGGACAGCCGGGTCCACGCTACCTGAGACATGCACCGTCACAGAGCAATGATGCCACCTTGGGCCCCGATGCTTGCAGAGCACTGTCTCATACGTGAGCTCGTGGGACCATAGACAGACATCGAAATGGGCTGGTGTGATGCACTTTTCTCAGAGCCTCCTGCTTTGCTGGCTTTATCTTTCTTTCAATATGTCTTTAAAATGCACTTAACTTCAGCTTGTTCCTCAACCTGTTTATAATTCGTATCAAGTAGATCTGCTGATGATAAGAATGTGCACTACTGTTCCTTGAACCTGACTCCGTGCCAGACTCTGCCCAATGCTAATGCTTTATATGTGGTATCTCCTCTGAGCTGGCCACAGCCTTGCCAGGGATGGACTACCTCTGTTTTTAGATGAGGAAACTGAGGCTTGGAGAAGTTGAGGGACTGGCCCAGCCTGTGACCCCAAATCCCAAGTCCCACCATGACACCAGATATCCTCCCGCTGGCCCTTCCTGGAGAGCCTCTTCCTCACGTGGTGGGACCTGCTGCTCGCCCATGGCAGGTGCACACTGTCTAGTTGTCTAATCATAGCAGAAGACAGTTGGTTATAATGGACAAAGCGACGGCTTGTCTTACGAGTGTCCTAAATTAGGGCCCCATCTGATAAAGAACAAATCGGGCTGTTTTGTTGCTCCACTGTCTTGCAATCCTTCGCTGTCCTAATGGTGTGCCTACAAGCTTGGAGGGGATCACTGTACTCTGGGTGGCGCTGGGGGTCTGACTGTACCTGGACTTTGGTGACAGTTCCTACCTCAGTTTCGTCAGTGGGATTTCTCCCTGAAACATGCTTCTCACAGTTAAAAATACTCAAATAACATCCTAATATTATTTCTCTCAAGGTGGTGGACACAGTAGCTCTCTCCTCATTTCGTATAGTAGAGCTGCCACTGGGAGTGATTGTCCAGCCAGGGTCTAATTTTCCAGCCCTCTTCACATGTTGGTGGGAGCCGTGTGACTTGTTTTGGCCAATAGAATGTGAATGGAAATGATAACATGTGTTGCTTCAAGGCCAAAGCATTTAGAAGCAGATGTGCCCTCTTCATGCTCTTCATTGCCTTTTTGCTACCTCGATTCAGAGGAGGACTGGTTCCTAAGAGA